CTAGGTTAAAAGTATTTAACCAAGTATCCATATACTCAATGACATGATGACGTTGGATTCAATACATTACCCATGTTTTTGTACAATATACCTAAAACCAGCTGTTTTTCAAAGTTTATAAAGGACTGACATGGATGAGTCAAGCATGTGTCACCCTCTAGTGAGCACATGGGGTACTGAAATGATGTATTACGAGAGACACAAGGGTTCTAAGCTGTTGTCCGAGAAGGACATACAGCTACTCACACTAGTGGTTTAGGAACCGTCGCTTGCCATTTTCCTATGATTTTAGCCCATAGCATAGGCCACACCACAAAGCCCATAAATTCATGAATGTGTTTGTTTTGTTGTACTATCAATGACACACAGGTTGAATTACCCAGGGTGCAAAATTAACTGGCCAAATGGCTAGTGAATATTAAATTTTTGGCTGGTGAGTGAAGCAGATCCACCAAGCACATACATGTTTTACCAGCAATTAGCTGGTGGCTGGTGCTAATTTCTGCTTACATCTTTTGTTATGGAAATACAGAGCTAGGTCTTTTCTAAATCTAAGGCTGGCTAACACACTAAATGAAGGTAAGCAATACTTGTTTGTGTGCTGCTGGGAAAACACTGGGGAAGCACTGTTTGTTTTTGTTGGATAAATATGACAACAAATGTTGAATCAGACAACACTTCACTTGTATCCTGTCAAGCAAAGTTGATTCTTTCACAGCATGATGGAGGATATTTCTTGCCAAATTCAAAAGCTGAAAAAAAAAAAAAAAACTGACTTTGACTCTTACTTCCTGAATTGTCTGTCTGCCACTTACAAACATATGACGACGTCCTTGACAGCACTGTTGTGGCTGGTGGAAATAAGTTCAGCTTTGTGGTCCTCATAATTGAAGCGGTACATCTGAGCAGCCTCTGTCCCAACAAAGAACTGCTGGCCCTCTCCTCTTAGAGCGATGGAGGTCACCCCCTTTTCCAGCTGGACTTCCCTAATGTGGGACAAGAGGAGAAAGGAGTTGATGATGAGCATTGTAAAATAACAGTAAAGGTGTTTGCACTATATTGGTACAAGCTGTGAACCATGAACACCATGCGTTACAAAACATGTTTTAAAGGGGGTGATTCAAATGATACAGTTGCAGGACTCACTTAATAGTTTTGAAGTTGGTGCTGGAACATAGAGTGAAGGTGCCAGATCCAGACCCCACAAGCAGGTTCCCAGACTTCAGTATCCTTAGGACACTGACACCCTGCACAGAAAAAGCTAAATTATAATATATAGACCCAAAAAAGCTATTTTGTACACAGGAACATATCGGTTTTCAAATTCCTAGCCCTTTGATACTAGCTGAACCATATATCTCGAAAGAGCTGGAGGGGTTTGTCAAATATTGCAGATACAATTAGCTTCAGGAATAAGTTAAAAGATGTCAAAGAAATAAGTTGCAGATCAAATTAAATACATGGCATGACCCCTTGCATATATTTTCAAAGGAGCATTTTATCAGGAATACAGTTCAATCAGCTCAATATACGCAGCAGGAGACCTGACTATCAGACGGAGCGCGAGTGAGCAACAGCAAACATTACCTTCACACAGTCAAAATAGAAGCAGAATGACCCCCGATGAGCTGACCTACCAGGCTGTATTTTGTTTTAACTGGACCACATTCACCCAGAAGCCCCGTCTTCAGGTTGATTTTCATTATGTCTCCACTGGTGGTGCCACAGTAAATGAACTGATCATCCTCTGAAATCTGTTTAATATGGTAAATGTACAATCAATAAACAATATAAATGGAGAGGCAACACTGTTAACTAGAAGTGTATATCAATCATTTAGTTATAGCAATAATCTGAATCAGAAATACTTTATTGATCCCCGGGGGGAAATTTGTTGGAAATAGCAAATAATAATATTTGAAATAGCCATTTTGTAAAACTCAAAACTTGGATCTGAAAATGACATCATACCTCTACACATTTCACAATCCTCTTCAGCTTGCCTGTCTGACACTCTGTGGGCCTGATCTTCCTGTTGACGAGGTCCAGCTCCCACACTCGCAATGTTCCACTGCACAAAAAAGACCAATGATATTAAAATACTGTAACAGAATGATACGAGTGGCACATTAACAAGAGGGATTGTGATAAAGGAACATTTTGAATGTAGATATTCTGTGAAAAAAAGCCATAATGAGATGTCTTGAAATTGTGAAAGCAGATGACTTGCGTTAGTTTGTTGATAAATTCTCTGAATATTGTAAAAATCTGTGTTACAGAGTTGCACTAGGGCTTTTGGACATTTGGTTTACACTCACCTGCCAGCAGAAACAAAGATATTGTCATTTGTGTTGGAGTACTGCACAGTGAGGCAGTGACCGGCACTGTGAGCTGAAGCTGGGCTGCCACAAATGGCCTGCTTGGTCTCAATATTCCATACCACTATGCTGAAAACACAGAAAACACCTCACACACTCAACAAATAGAGAATATGTACTGCATTTACATACTGTATGCTTATTTCTGTGTGAACATGTACAACTACAGTGTGACTATACAAAAACTGATTTGTATGAATTATCAAGTGTCAAACTGATAATGCTCCCAGATAAGTATCTCAGTAACATGTTGTATGCCTTAGTGTGGAGATATCTGGTCATTAAATAAAATGTCTGTGTTTGGCAATGATAGTGTTTATTCTCATAAACCCATTGCTATTGAAATCTTATGATCAAGTCGGTAATGTTTGCATTTAGAAAGAGTGTATCATGAGTTTCTGAAACTACTACCCAGCTTTTCAATTGGGTATTTGGGAGGGAGCACGTGTACATCATGTTTACCTGCCATCATCCTGACCCCCAAGGGACACCAGGTACTTGTCATTGGGAGAGAAGGCCAGTGCCTCCACCTTTGCCTTGTGGAGGAGCAGCTGGGCGTAGACTGTTCGCTGTGCATAGTCCCAGATAATTACGGTAGCCTAGGAATATATGTTTTTATCCAAATGGTTACAAGTGATACATAAATGATACATTTGTTTTGTCGTCGCTCACTGTAAATGGATTCCAGCCTCTAATGCAAAACAACGACTGCTTCCTAATGCACCACACACCATCAAGGGGGGGGGGGGGGGGGGGTAAGCAGGTAATTGATGGTGAGTTAGTTGAGTTAACCATGTCAACAACTTATGGAAAATGCATTGTAACTACAGCTACCTTAAAGCCCATATAGTTGACTTGTCCAGAGGCAATATATGATCCATGTTTGGACACTGCAATACAGGACACATTGTTTGTGTGTCCTTGCAGGAACTCCTGCTTGCCATCTTTGATTCTCTTCAGAATGACTGTGCATCCCAGAGGATAGATCAGGTGCTCTCTGTCTGGATGGACTCTCAGGCCAGAAAACACACGTCCTGATGAAACAAAGTGGAGCACAAAAGAAATGTACAAAGATAAACTGTGCTCACGATGGACGGTCTCCTGTTTTGAAAGGTGTCAGAATGTGCAACCTTTTCCAGTTAAATGGTAATTGAAGCCTAACCTAACCTAATATAAAATTACTGGCACTGTGCACAACTATTGGAAATAAAAAACAGGTGTTTCATTAGCGTGAAGTTTGATTTGTTGCCACAGAAGTTAAGCTAGTTAACATTAGTTAGAACCATCGACATGGTTAGAACATTAAAGTCCGCAGAAAACTTACCATTGAACCCAATAACAGACTCCAGTTCAAGTTGAGGCACGCCATGTGTGTCAAGAGCCATGGTTGGAAAACTGAATATACTCGCGCTTTCTCCTGTAAAGTGTTAACAGAAGCCTAGTTTCATCGAAAAATTTAATTTTTGCTGGAAAAACTCACGCTGGCGTATTTATTCAAACCGGTCTGTAACTCAACTAGTAACACCAAACAGACGTTACCTAGCAACAGCTGGGTTATGTTGGCCATTGTCATTGGTCGGTGATACGTCGTCGCTGCCTTCACTTGCCATCGGATTTTTTTAAATTCTAAAATAGTCGAACATAAAAACATTAAGATAAATACATGTGACAGATTAACCCAAAATAAAGTGTCTTCGTGCGGTGTTAATGAGCCTTGGCATTGATTCCATTCTTTCAAAAGTTACACGTATTTGGTGTTTTGATGATGGTGGAGGAGAGCATTTTGGTTTAAATCTCCCATACGTGTTCAATTGAGTTAAGATCTGGTTCAACAAATGCCATAGCATCATTTTCATACTCATCAAAGCATTCAGTGACCCCTCGTGCCCTATGGATGGGTGCATTGTCATCCTGGAAGAGACCACTACCATCAGGATGGAAATGTTTCATCATAGGATAAAGGTGAATAACTTTGTATTCATTTGCAGAGACCTGCAGAGAGTTGATCCAAACCATGTCAGCAAAAGGTCCCCCCACAGAATAACAGAGCCAACCGATCTCCTCACTGTAGGGCTCAATAATAACCCTCTGACAAAATCAGAATCAACTTGGCCTGCACAGCCTTTTTATGCATGACACAGAGCATCATTTTAAGTTATTTGCTTACTTGTACCATGCAGTCTGCACGTGCATTCGTTTTGTTTCTCCACTCATATATTGAGATTTTTCCTTTAATTTGTCAGCCGTCTGTACAGCACTGGTCATTTTAAAATGGCTAATTAAGATAGGGAGCAAATCTAGAGGGAAAATATAAAAACCCCTCTTTAACTACATTCTTTAGACACATTTTTACTGTGTCTTTCATTATCAAGTATGCAGAAGAACTGTTTGGTGCATAGTAACAGACGTCATACACAATATAAATATGCCAGACTTGCAATATATGAAGACAGTTTATTAGTGTCTGTGTTTTCTATCAAACAGATTTCCAGGCTTATGTAGTTCAAGGTTCAGTTGACATGTTTATCTGAACAACTAAAAACACATTTAAGCACATTACTTGAATATGTATGAAAGAGTAGAGGCCCCATTTTGTTTCAACAATGCAATGAACTACAGTACTATGTAATGTACCTGTTTATTGACAGTAAAATGCCATGTATGTAGATAGTATCACAAAGAAAATCAATGGATTACATAACTACACAGTATATGTGCTATACAGATCAATAACAAAAATAAAAATATAAAAACGACAATATTTTCTATTAATTGTAATGCTACACAGCTCGTACCAGAGACAAACCACTGTTCACTCCTGGCCACACTGCACTTAGTGATCTCAAAGCAGGTGTTTCCCATTTGAGGTGAGAAGTAATAAACCTGCAGATGAGAAAAGCATAACAGCACTTTCAGCTTTGAGTCGGCATAGAATTAACCATTCTGTGAAGGAGTAATTATTTAAAAAATAACTTGATATAAGAGTACAAAAATGTCTAATTTTGGCATTTAACTGATGAGCAGCTGTTGACCAAGAAAAAGAAAGTAAAATATCCTTTTATCAATTAGAGTAAGAAAATCTACCAAAGGCTACCGGCATGGACTGAACTATACACACATCTTGTGCTGGTTAATAATTGTGTGCTTTCTATAGTACTGACAGAGTGAGGTAGCACATTACATCAGATTAAGGTAATCACCGTTGGAAAGCAGAAATTTAGTCTGGCGTATTTTACAGTTGCATTTTGTTTAGTAACAGTTTGGGTGCATGTCAATAAGAGTTTCAGGCCTGCAGCAATTCTGCTTTGGTTGTGGTCTTTTGGGTGATGACAAACATGAGATATTCTTCCAGATTATATAAAGGGAAGTTCAAATCTGTCATAAGCTTCCCCACAAACAGCAGTGTGCTTATATCGTCAGACGATCTGCGTTCACCCAATTCACAGAACATATCTATGCCAAAAATAACATTCATTTTAACTGCCAATATAATTCAGAAGCCAGAAACTTCTTGCTCTGATCAATAAAAGATAAATAATACAAAGCAAGCAGCAAGGTGAATCATCACAAATACTACAAATTACTACTAATTAGCTTGACTGTGGCCCCGGGAAAATTGCCTGAAGATGAAATGTCCTCTCTATAAAGACTTTACTTGTGTTTTCAACTGTCAGGATTCTCAGAGGGTCCTTCAAAGCTTGCTATGTCTTTAGATGTGTCCATAGACATCTGTCTGTGTGTGTGTGTCCTCCGGTGCCTGCTGAGAGAATGGCTCCATGAAAACCTGCGACCACAGGTGAGGCACAGATAGGGTCTTTCTCCTGTGTGTGTCCGCTGATGTTTTGTCAGTGACTTGTACCGCGTGAAGGTTGCCCCACATTCATTGCAAATGTATTTCTCCGACTTAATATGAACATTTTGTTCGTGTTCTTTCATGTTTCCCAGCTGCGAGAAGCCTTTACCGCACACGGGGCAGAGATGTGGTTTCTCTCCAGAGTGGGTCAAACCATGAATATTCAAATCCTGACGAGAATAAAAACCCTTTCCGCATATAATGCATTTGTATGGTCTTTCACCCGTGTGGCTCCTCATGTGTCTTTTAAGTCCTTCTGAGCGGGAGAAGCAGCTCTCGCACAGGGTGCATCTGAAAGGTTTCTCTCCTGTGTGAGAGCGGAAGTGTCGGCGGAGCTCCGAGGCCTTGAAGAAACACATCCCACAGTCTGCGCAGCAGTGAGGTTTTTCCGGCTGCTCCTCGTGCGTCTTTTCATGTGCTTTGCAGTGACCTGACTCGGAGAATCCTTTTCCACAGACCGAGCAGGTGAAAGGCTTCTCACCGGTGTGCATTCGCTTGTGACGGACAAGTTTGTTAAGTTTATTGAACGTCTTCATGCAGTATGAGCACTGGTGAGGCACCTTGGGTTTCTTTGAGTGTGTGCGCTTATGTCTCTCTAACTTTGAAGGCCTGTTGAACACTTTTCCACAGTCAGGACAGGGGTGCTTGTTAGTCCTATTGTGGCAATTCTGGTGTCGGATGAGCTTCTCCTGTTGTGTGAAACTCTTATCACAGTGCTGACACTGATGAAGGGTTTTAGGCTTCCTCGTGTGAACGGGTCTATGCCTGTCTAGCTTCGATGGTCTGTCAAATACCTTGCCACAGATGGAGCAAGGGTAACACTTGTCTGATATGTTGCTCTCTGGCTGTCTGGGGTTCTCGGGCTCAGTGGCGGTCGAAGCATCATTGGAATCTGATTCTGAGATTACCTTCACGACGACTTCTCCCGGACCTGAGGAACAATCACATCGAAGAATATCCTCTGAATATTTTACTGAACAAATTGACTGAAAAAAAAAAATCTCAGCAGAATAAAATGATTTCCTCCTATCAGTGACTAATGTTACATGATGATGTTTTTTTAAAAACTGAACACACAGAGGATGTCTGTGATTTTTGTGAAGGCTTTTAGAAGGGAAGTGTGACAAACACTTATAATGCACATTTAGATGTACGGGGCCATTTTACTTTATTCAATGGGCATTCAGACTTGTGTGATGTAAACATTTTTAAAAACCTGACAATCTGTTGTGGGTGTTGAGTGTTGACCAAAAATATATGAAAAGCATCAACACTTACTCTCCTCTGAAGATTCTGTTTTAGGGGCAGATGCAGTGTCTGGGCCCATGACTGCAGCCTATTTACATACAACACAGACACAGACACAAACAGAGGAAATGGAAAATTACATCGGTATTGTAGCACAGTGATTCAGTGTTTTTAACATCTGTGTATGTGATATATCAGCCAATAGTATTTTTTAATACAAACACATAACATAAATAAACAATCTTGACACGTATCCATTACATTTCATTTAAGTGTCTTAACTGAGACCAAGATACAACTGAGTGTGACACATAACGGTTGAAATATCCTCTTGGCAGTGCCTTCTGGTGGACAGACTATGTAATAGTGATACTGTCTAACTGACCACAAGCCTAGTTTGGCATCTCTGTACTGCATTGTGTTGTTCTTGTTACTCATGGGCCAACATATACATTGAAGCCAATATATCTGCAATAAATATGCACACACATACATACAGATATGTCCTTCCTGTGAAATCATATTGTATCTGTTTATAGCCATGCAAAAATGGTGTACCTTACACTACTACTGAGACCCAAAGAGTTGATGTCACGACGTAACATACAGTAGATGTGTAAAATGCATGACTGTGATGTGATTCACATAAAGAGAAATAATGTGGTAGACAATTTGAACAAGTTCCTGCTACACTACAGCATATGCTGCATGGCTGGGTTCCCTTTTTTTGGTCAAGTTGTGATTTTTATCTATTACACTATTAGTTTTGTAATCCAGAATATTCCACCCAACTATATTCTTACAGCTAGTGGAATTAATGTGGTGTGCTGGATAATGAGGACACCACAGGGGAGCATATGAAGCAAAACAATCCAGCTGTTTTCTCCTGCTATATATATATATATGTATACATATATTAGTTTAACCACAGTATAGAGTTTTAATAACATGAATGATAAATGACAGGTATTACAGGTAAGAGATATGCCTCTGACCACACTTTTACACATACCCAGCATCTTTGAAGCAGCGTCAAGCAGTCACAAAGTCCTATTGTGGGGTATTCTTATAGCACCATCGCCTCTTGAGGTAGACACTATTTACACGATCCACCAAGCAGCTATTTACTAAGCTGACCTTTGATGGATCAGACTGCGCAGTCTCAGCAACGTGCAATCGTTAACTTGTTAGAGTAAAGAAGGACAGAATGAACAAGAGACGACACTAAACGCTGAAAACCTAACATGAATAGCCCACAATGTCAACGCTACTTGAGCTAGCGTTACAGAAAGGAAAGGTAGCCACAGCTGTTCAGGCACAGACCATATGATAGTGTATTATATAGTGTATATAACGTTAACGTATCATCTGCAAATGGGCAGGGCAACTAAGCTGAAATGATTTTGAAATGATTTTGAATTGATTTTGAATTGATTTTAGCATGACCCCGCCCCCCCCCCCTCACTGTTGTATGCTTAACGCAAGTTGTTTTTATTGCTGAAGTGCCTTTAAAAACGGAGGGCAGATGACTGTTTATCTGACACAGAGAGAGAGAGAGAGAAGAGGAAGAGAGAGAAGAGAGAGAGAGGAGAGAAGTTCGGAAGAGAACTGAGGAGAGGTAACGTTAGCTAACTTAGCTAACTTAGCTAAGGCTAATGTTGTTGTCGCGTTAGCTAACAAAGCCGTATAACATTAAGCAGGGCATATAAAATGGAGTCCCACCTCTCCAATAATCCTTAAAACCGAAGGCAGTCACATCTTTTGTCGGCAACGTTTTAAATTGAACTTACTTCACATTTAAAGACAGCTGGTAGCAGCAGCTTGCTACACAAGCTAACTACAGCAGTAGAGTTGATGCCCATTCCCCTGTACGATACATTCAAATGCATTACGTAAGTTCGGGAGTTCAATTCTTCACAAGGTACATTGTTATTGATTACTGGTTTTTTTTTTTTAGTGTTCACGCGTCACAGAACTACCTGCTTCGCACTGTGGTATTATAATAATGGTTAGACATTACACACTATGTACCACGTACTTTGTTTATTGGAAAGAAAACGTGTCGACCAAGTTGAACAATGACCGTAGATACAGTAGACACATCCACTTACAAAAGAATCCACACCTATAGTGCACGTACTTTCATTGTTGACATCGTGTATATTATCCGCATTAATCATTCTGATTATCACATACAAATAACAACGACAAAAACAATAAATCAATTACAAAAAAAAAACGTTTTCCCCGTTCAGATGTGCCCATTAATACACACAGCAGTTCCTACAGCACTAGAACGCAGCAAAGGTTTTCAAATAGGTCTGTCATTTATTGTTGGTAGGTAGGGCCATGACCAGATCGCCCTAGTCCGGCTACAAGGACTACTTTGGTTTAAAAGTGTGTGCAATGATACGGAAGCCGAGAACGGCCATGGATTTTTTATTTTTTTTAATGCACTGTTATCTTGTGATAACGACTTATTAATTCGTTTATCTCGAATAACAAAGTTGTTTTCTCTTGAGTAAACGAATTAATTTAATAATGTGTTCGTCTTGACTCTAAACTACCACTTACCATTAGTTTAAAGTCAAGACGAACACATTATTAATTAATTCGTTATCACGATATAACAGTGCATAAAAATAAAAATAAAAATCCATGGCCGTTCTCGGCTTCCGTACAATGACGAGTATAGAGTATGTAAGATATTAATTACTGTCAGACTATTTTAACAGCAAACACACACACACATGCCTGGAGACTAGGCTATACATATTTACAGGCTCACACACCTTATTAATAATACCATACATATGTTGTCAATTTCAAGATTTTGATCTCAGAGGTAAAGTAAAAAGTAAAGTAAAGTAAAAATATTTATTTTCAGTCTGAAACTCATTTTTTTTTACCCCATTACATATGAATATAAATATGATAATAGGCTCACATATGTGAATAAGTTATTAGACACTGAATACAATCAACTGATAATTGCATTATAAAAGTGCATGGCGTTTAATTGTGTCTCAAATGCAGATAAACTACAAAATAATAAGAAAAAAACTATGTAGAAGTACCCAGAAAAGTCCAGTTATTCCAACTGATTGTGTCTACAAAACAAAGTATAATCAATAGACTGAACAGGAGGTAAAACCTGAATTGTAATTTTTCTGCTGCTGCAATGTGGTTCTAGGTTACAATCAGGCCTGATGGTTAAATATGAACCTTTGACTGGAATGAATAAATATTCAGTGATTGATATAGATTTGATGAATATATGAAGCTCAGTGCCCACACAACACCCTCAACCTAATCCTCCTAGATGAATTACTGCAAATTGCATTGCATTACGATTGCTCTAGTCACTGGCATGTCTCATCCTCCTTTCTGTGATAAGATGCTAAGGGTTTTCTTTGTGGGGATTTTCAGTCTATTTGTATAGAGCTTCGCTGAAATGGGAACCACTATTTGTTGGCTTGTAAAGTCCAGTAAGACAATGTTTGCGATATAAGTATATACAAATAAACCTGAATATAAAACTTGAAATAAATATTTAAAATTTACATACAAATGAAGTACAATGAAACAGCATCAACAAGGTTCAGTGTTTACCAAAAGATGCAATGTTACAAGGTTGCTCTCCTGTTATTTCACTGAGAGGGAAAACTGTGAGAAAAGGAAATAGAGTTCTGGATGCCCCACACTTCCAGAGAATGGATCTTGAAATGTCCCTTGCAGAGTTGGTTGCTCTTGAATGTGTCACAAGGCTCTGAGTATCCTCCCTCTAGGTCTTCCTGTAGGCAGAGTGCGTGACCCCCATCGCCACCTAAGAGAGGATACATACATCAGCGCTGCATTAACAATCCGCCTGTCAGCTGACATGTTGACAAAACCCACTCTAATCTTCTAACAATATGTTCTACTGACATACCAATAATGAGCTGACTGTCACTGCCCGCTATGAACATGGAGGCTTCTTGTTCTTTGGGTCTCTTTGGCTCTTTGGCATTAATGGGTTCCTCCAATGGGGCGGTGAAGGGGATTGTCAAATAGCTGGGGTCCTGGGGGGTTCCAGCAGGACAGGTAAAAGTTGTGATTGCTGTGGGGGAGCTAAGAGGGGAGCTAAGGGGGGAGCTGAGGGGGGAGCAGTCGCTGCTGGAGACCTCGGAGGAGGCGTCATTACTGGCTCCACTGTGCTGAGGGGAAGCTCTTCTGGTCATGATATTGACCATAGCCTGCTGGTAGCGCTCCATGCTGGGACGAAGCTGAAAGAGTGTTTGACAGTTTAAGAGGCATTCCAGCAAATACTAATAAAGGTACACAATACACACAATATGAGGGACTTTTTTGACTGAAAAGAAAACCGGAATATGTCTCACCGTAAACACAAAACATTCCCCAGTTCCAAAATATGTGAGTCCCTCAGAGTCATGCTTTCTCCTTTCTATCATATCTGTTGACAGGAAGGCACCAAAGACCTGAAGAAATAAGAAATACGAATTATTGAAGACATCTAAGCTTCAAATTTAAGGTTTAATCAAAAGGAAAAGAAAAACAAAATTATTCAAAGTATTCTTTATGTTATCTGATGTTACCTCTTCATCCACAGTTTTAATAATCAGGACTGTTGGTTCGTGTCCCTCCACATGTGAATAGAATCTATATAAGAGAAAAAAAAAACATAATATCCCATAAACTGCCCTACACAACCAGACATTATCACTGGTGACTAAACCTAGCCCGTAAATGAATATACTACTAAGCCTATCTGCACTGTATATTATTAGAAGAAAACATTTTGTATCTTGTTCAGAGACAAGATCACAGCTTTAACAATTAAAATATCTTTCCATGTCAAAGTCAAACTCATTTAAGAGCTTTGTTTTATTCAAGATGGAATGAAGTCAAGAGAAAAAACAGACACAGGAATCACTAATGTTATACTTCCTGTATATTAAATGAAATCTAAACTAAAATACAGTTAAAGTGTTTAACAGTTAGGAATTCATAGTTTCAGCTTGAGGTATTTTTCTACATAAACAACATTTGCCACCACTTACTGAACTGTAAGTCACTTGACTTTCACACTCACAGCAAACATGTTTATAGTGAAAACACACCACCTTTGTCTGTTATGTAACTAGACTGGAGAATGTTTTTCACAGCTGGGACGTGGTGTTCAGCAGTTATTGATCCATAATGACCTGGCCTCATTTAATACTTCAGGCATGAAGACACAAAATTGAAAGAAAAGGAGGCTTTTGATATATTAAAGAAACACTTGTATACATAATTCATGCCAGTGAAGTTACAACACATTTGTTTACTGTCTCCCAGATGGTTTTTCAATGGAATTAAAGTAGTGAACAAAGGTTACTCACGAGGCAAGGCTTCTCCCATGTTCAGCTGTGTTAAACAGCCTAATGGGACTGAAAAGGGCAAAGCGCTCAGGTATCCAGGCCCAGACGACTCTCATCCCAGTCCCTGTCACAACAGTGGAGGTGAAGTTGGTAAAATCCACCGTCTCAACCGACTGTCTTTAGGCACATAAAAATAACTAGTATTAGAATATGAAATTGAAATAATATAAATGTGAACAGTTTTTTTCCAGCATGAATAACTACATATAGCCAGACTATTTGGAACCTGTACACCACATGCTTTACAAAGTTTCCTTTTCTTCTATTTTAAACACGTTTCATGCCTCTCACTGGCTGTTCAGTTTCTGTACTAACCTCTTCTGGTGTATGCTGACACCTTTTTGCATGAGGGAGTCCTTGTTGGCATTGAACAGGAGGTTGAGCTCTCTCCGTGTGGCCATCGGAATCATAAAGGCCTTCTCCAGGAGCTTCTCAACTGCGCAGTGGCGAGCCACGTTCTGCACGAAACTCTTCATATCAGTTCTGAAGTCTTCCACGTCTGCCACTCGAGACGACACCGATACTTTATAGAGGCTGAGCAAAGCCAATGCCACCCTACAAAGCAATTATTGTACTTTATACTTATGTCCTGTTAAGTCATGAGAAATCAAACACTCATATTAAAGGATTTTGTTTACATGTGACAATGCAGCAGCAACAAACCTGTAGAGGACCTTGTAGCCCTCCAAAAGGTAGACATCCAGCACTCTGATGGCATATGTGAACGGAAGGTCCGCAAATATCCACATGATCCAGTCAGAGTAAAACTCAAAGAGGTTCTGGTGAGAGCTGGCAATCAGCTTACGGATGCCTCTGCAACACCTGTTAGCAAGGTCTCCAAAGGTCATGCAGGAAGCGCGGTAGGTGAGGAAGGTCTGATCGATGTAACGCTTGTTGGGGTCGTTGTAGCAGATAAGTCGGGACACACTGTGGAAACACTCAGCTTCATCCTCGCTGAAGTGAAGAATGAGGGAGACCAGTTCAGGAAGGATGGGGCAAAAGTTCATGTCCACGAAGTATTTGCCGAGGCAAAGGAGGATCTTTTTCACAGAATTCAAGCCTGCTTTGTTGAGACAATATCTGGATAAGAAGAGAACAAGCAACAACTCACTTGGTCTTATTCCAGACAAGTACAATAATACATTTTATATTTTTTTTTAAAGCTCCACTCTGGGAATAAATTGGGAATACAACAAAGAATGTGACAGTTCAACACTTAAAGCATTGCTGTGGCTTTTTTTTTTAATCATGAATCACTTTGACCAAGACATTTTCCAAAAATTGGACCACCAAACCACCAGACTTTAGCCAATAAAGTAAAAATTAACCAAATAAAACATAGTCTCCCATGCAAATCTACTGTGTTCAACATGTTTTCAATTTCTACAGCATAACAACATGTCTGTCATATATGAACCAGTATTAACCCATGGAAGTACCTGGGTATTTCTCCTGCCTCCATGTACTCTGGGACAGGGTGGGTGCTGATTTTCTGTTCCCCAAAGAGCTGCTTGGCCAGTTCATAGTAGACATCTCTGTCTGGAGTGACAGACCCACTGCAGATATAACATCAGTCCACAGTCAGATCATTTGGCTAGGTGATTATTTTGCAAAGGTCATATCAGTTCCCAAGTACACAGCTTGTCCTTGTGACAGAGAATATATTTTTAAAACCTGGAATTTGTATTATTCAGCGTGAAAATCTTAACCTGGAATTGATGCTGTGGATGATGTGATAATAAGCCTTGGCCCTTAGTGTGTGGGGCATGGCCCAGAACCCTTCTCGGCCCTTCGTTTTCAGCTGCTGGTGATCACTCTTCAGGATCTGCTGGTATCGTTTTGCGGCCTCGGGGTCAATCTTCTCCCAGTCCACGAACTGTCCATACTTCATCCCAGAGCTCGAGCAAATTTCCCAGTTGTCCGACTCAGAGATGGTCATCATAGACACTGACTTCAGACTGCCTTTACTGCCTGAGCAAAATATGCATACATACATTTAATGCAAATTGACTCAAATTTTCTAAACTTATACCCTTTTTGAGAGTAGAAAAATGCTATTATAGAAACATTATTTCAGTACCATTAAGTTCTCTTGATGGTGAGCGCTTCGTTGGTTTAGACTTAGAATTTTTTGTGGTGCCTTGAGCACCAGCCTCTTTCCCTTCTTTCTTTTCCTTTTTGTTCACTTGATACTGGAGTAGCGAGCTGGGACTCAGTGGACTGGACCTTGTGGAGTTTTCCACATCATAGGCAGATTTAGGCTCTGATGTCTCAAAACTGTAAAAGGACCTGTGAGCAGTTGATTCAGTATTTAGTATTGTGTATTGTGTATTTAGTAACAATTATGCCTCTTTTTGTTATGCCTTATCAATTTTGCCATAACATTAAAACACAAATCCAGAGGAATATAACTACACATGCCACATTACAACAAAACAGCACAGATTTTTAAGTTGAATGTGAAAACATACCTGGAACGAGGTCTTAGATAGGTTTCCTCTGTCTGTGTCTGCACACCATAGTTCATACAATCCTCTGCGCTATAATAGGAATGAGACCTCTGCCTGCTTCTGCCTGCTGACATAGAACCCAGGTCCTGATCAGAGGAAGTACACATCGAGATTGAATTCATGTTTCCACAATTGGAAAACTCTGGTGTTCTTGAAACATCAATCATGTCAAGTCTTATTCTTCAAAGAAATGCAAGTTGGAAGGTAACACCTCTCCTGCGACTAGCTGCACGTTCTGAGGATCAGGGCTTTATATAAGTCTGTGGGCTGTGTACATGTGAGGTAAGCTATAGTGGTGTGGCTTGTTTGGGGTCATTTCAGTCATTGAAAGTGGAAAAAAAAAATCCTTTGATTTTCCTGTTTTAACTTTGGAAACATACAGTGTCTCATTCTAAGAAATAAGTAGTCACAAACAAGGAATAAAACTTTTTAGGTCACATGACAAAACACAGGCACTTTTTTTAGACACATCATTTGATCAAGTGTCCTTCAAATGGCTCTACTCACTGCAGTCTATTTAAGCATTATTTATTATTACATAAAATACACCCACTCACTTTCCACAATAAATTGCTCATTGGCATTGCAATTAACCAACTGCTTGTTATATAAATGTTTTTTTGTTGTTGTTTTTTTACAGGTTAACCTGTTAAAAAATTGGATTTTTCAGAATAAGGTCATCAGAAAGGAGGGTAATCACGTAGAATAGTCTTTTTTCCCTGAAAAGGCTTCATGCGTAGCATCAAAATGCCAAATGAGTCTATTCCAAGAAGTCTCCCAATGGTTATTATTCTACACAACAGATATATGTTTTTATCCAAACACAACTGTTGTTTGGTTATGAAACATAAAACCTCTACAAGTACTTCTCTCATATGTGGGCTCCACATGTAATGGAGTTACTCCTTAGCCCCATGAGTGGAGAAGGCATGCTGTCGTTCCTCCGTGCCAATTTCCATGAAGGCTGCAGCCTATGGGACAAAAATGAATTTCTACTTGCGCTTTGAGTGTAATGAAAGAGCAGTTAAAACACATATGGAGACCCACTGTGACAAAGTCTGTGAGGACTGTGAGAAACTGACCAGGATATTCTTACTTTCTGTGTATTCTGTTAAGCTGAGGCTCTTAAAAAAAAAGACTAATGACTGAAAAATCACTTAATGTCCATATTGTTCATTCTTTACTGCCAACCAAATATGAATCTTTGTCGCTAAGGGAAACACACACTCCCTATGTCCTTGTCCTGGCATTTGTATTTCACTTCATTTTCCTGAAGAAAGTAAAATTGTGAATACTCATAGTAAACATACTCATTTTTATGATTCAGTTTTACTGATCATATTTTTTTGTTCATTTTGTGTTTGTTTTGTTCACTAACAGTTTTAACTGTTGAATTTAATGTTTGATGACTGTATTCATTTGAAAGGTGGGATATTAGGTCGGTATTAAAAACACTCCTCTTTTATCAGCATGGCGTTTATTTGTATATAATGTGCTGATTACTCCCATAAAAGCATCAGACTAGATATGTTTAGTCAATGCATGCTGACTTACTTAGGCTACCTCCACTTTGGTGGAAATCGTAGGGACAACGACCACAAACATGAGCAAAAGTCATTTAAATTTTAGGAAGTAAGCTCATTATAATAAAAACAACAACTCATATGTATTAAACAATCATTTTCAGTAGCCTTTTATTCCGGTTTTTCTGCATAACTGAAAACCGCGAAGTCGGCTGTCCCTCGCAGTGTGCCGTAGTGACGTCACACCCAAACAAGAACCAGTTTGCTGGTGATTACTGTCGGATGGTGGAAACTAAGTAGATTTTCTCTTTATAGCTACATTATATCGCAATGTCTCAGGATCCCTGGTAAGTCATATGTTCGAAGGTTACAATAAATTGGCTCAACTGTGTCATTATTCACAAGAAATAACGTTACTAGCCTTAATAAGTGAAGTTACTCTGTCTGTGTCCTGCTAGCTAAAGTAACGTAGTAGCTAACTTAGCTCTTACCTATAGCTAAACATTCACGTTAACCAAATACAATACCTTGCATTCTCATCAAGCTCTTTGTGGGGGAAATGTAGCATAGTGGTCCTGGATCTGGCCAAGGAGCGTTTTTAGGCATTACTCCTCTATTTACTATTCAGCTTGAACGTTTGTAGCAGAACCGAAAGAGGAAAAAGGCGATGTTAAAGTCACATGATGAATGAAAAGCTTAAGCTCAATCTCTGACGTTTTGCCCAATTGAATAATACAAACATGCTACAATACAACATATTAGCGCTGTATTAAACACTAATGATAGTATTTATGGCACTCAAGCTTTAGTGGCTGTTCATTCAGCTTTTTCAGACACCCAGTAGTTTATTTGCTGAACAACCTTAAACTCCAGCTAGTATTTACTGTATTGTAAGGTATTCTTAAAATACAGTTCTTATATTTTTGTAGTTAAATAACAGATAAGACAATTGTATTCACCCGTATAAATCTGCAGAGCAGTCCTTTGTGTAATTAATTACCACTTTAACCACCTAACTTAAAGTGGGTCTCTGTGTTGCTCTGTGTGTATCTGTGGCTGTTGTGTTTGTTGTGAGTCAGTAATGATGACATCTCTATCCCATTCATTGATCTGTAGGTTACAGAATTATGATGCGACTTGTCGCTTGGCACAGGAAATAGCAGAAAACATTCATGAACGAAACAGGCAGCAGAGAACAGGGGGGAACCCTGCAAAGGTAAGGTGTTCCATTCACAAGTTAACTGGCTTTGCTTGCAAATGTCTCCTGAATTAGTTTGTTTCTTTAGTTGTCAGCTGGTGTGAACATCTTCTGTCTTTTCAGATCAACATGACGCTACGGGCATCGCTGCAGAAGCTCAAACAGAATATTGCCCAGCTCAGAGAGGGGTTGTTGCGAGCCTCATCATCTCGGCGTGTGTATCCTTTTGAGAATGTTTCAGGCAATGGAAGTCATGGGATGCGCATTACATTTTTGGCTGTGCAGTTTCCTTTGCTTGCAGTAGCAGTTATCTTCCTTTAGAGGGAGTTAGAGTATTTTGAAAAGTAACTACTGAAGGGGTTCTGTGTTCATGGGTTAATTCCAAACTGACCCAGTGTCTGGGACGTCCTCTGTCCGCTATCACTGAAGGTGGTTAAAGTAATGTTGACCTTTTGCATGACCTTAACATGGCTTCTTCAGAATGCAGTCAGAAGCTGATAGGAGGCAGAATCTTATTGATGACCTGCTAACCAGAGAGAAGCAGCTCAATGCCACCTTCAAGGGAGACACCACAGAGCCCGAACCTTCCAGGTATTAAAATCAAGTCAAATAATTTCATCCCAAATGAGAGGAAAAGTTAAGAAAGTCAGTCAAATCTCATGAATGGGATCACACAAGGACTACATTTTGACAATAGGATGATTTCATCCATCTTTCAAAGGTTTGGGTGAGTCATAACATATTTATGATTAATGTGGTGCTTGACTTAAATTCATACTACTAGATCATTTAGTATCCAACTACTGTGCCATGTCGCTGCCTCAAATAGTCTATCCTCAATTAGTCTTCAGTTGTGCTTTTCTTAGAGCACTTTCAGTTTGAAAGATAATATGTGACAGCTGGCTTGTTGCTTAAGTAGTTCAAGAAAATATTGGAATATTTCTCCACCCTGTCTGTCACTGTCAGTTAATGTCAGAATGGCCAAACCAAGCATCACCCCATGATGCTTCAGGGAGCATCCTCCTCATGCCACCTTTTGTGATCTTTCTTTATATCTTGTGCTGGACGCCCAATTAAAATAATGAATCCTCATTCTATTGTCTGTGTCCTCGACCGGAGAGGTCATAGGCTCTGTTCTCTGCTTTGATGAGATGTCACTGGTCACTAACTTCCTGTGAAAGTTGTACATCCGGTATGACCCATGTGCCGTGACCTCTCCCTGGGCTATAACTCGGAAGGAAGTCTGTCTGTCTGACATTTTGACAGGGCGCCTAACTTCATAGCCAATTCTTTTTCATTTGGAGATTTGCTCGCTTTGCACTGTTGATCACACATTTGGCACCTCCTGAATGGGCACACACACACACACACATACACTCATTTGTGTGTGTGTTTGTGTGTGTGTTAATGGACAAGGACAGGAGGGATGAGTTTACAGTTTAGAACTCATATTTATGGGGCTAATCAAAGAGCTGTACGCCAAAGCTTATTTCCTCTTCATTATCTGATGTCATGTCAACTTAGGCAGCAGGCAGTCATTACTTTGTGTAATGTTTGACCTGGTCTGGCCCAGGTGATAGTTGTTTGGACAGGAAGAGGAAATGGTGTCATGGGAGAAAGAAAAACTCCTGTACAGTGTAGTATGTCTACTTTCTGGCCATGTTTTTTTTATGAGGCGTAACTGAGATGACAGTAGAATGAAATTACGCATCAGTGTTTCATCAGATCTGTAGAATTTAGACTTTTATTGACGCCTTGATATGAGACTGGCTTTCTCTGATATCTTTCACAAGCTTTGGTTTTGGGATTGATCTACTTAGCGGTGCTTTTCACAGGCTTTCATCTTTTTACAGACCACACACCCAATTACATAAAAGGCTCTTAAAAAAAATCTCAAATGACATTTGCCAATAAACTAGCTTGGCAAACTGTAATCATGTGGTCGTATGGTTTTTAGTTTGCTCAGTGAGACCTAACTTTAATAGTGATATGTGGTGGGTAATTTGGATTTGTGGGTAGGACCCATTCCCACTGTGTGGTCTCTGAGTACAGAATGTGGGAGGGGGTGGATTGGCCATGCTTGGATAATCTAAGCCGCTCTTTTTTTGTGAGAAGTTTGGGTAGAAAAAAAAAGGAATAGAGGTTACAGAGGGGACTTTAATCTATTCCTGAAACAATACATTCTAAGCATCTCCATTTCAGACTAAGCAAAAGAAGGACATGGCGCCTACATTTGAAGGCTTAGTTCACCCCGTTGCCCCTCAGATCCACCTTTCCTCCATTATTCACTAACCTTTCCTTTTGTATTTGATTGCACTGGAAATGGTTGTAATTAGTTAAATCTCGCCTGTCTAAGTCATTCAGTCAGGACCTGGGTGCTCAGGCCCGATGGCGGCAGTCTAGTGCAAAAGATGTGCCTGACTGATTTTGGTGCTCCCCATCGACTGGTTAATTGGATCTTCACACACTGGGCACTTGCATGGAGGAAGTGGAGGGCTGGCACGCAGTTTCAGAGTGATCAAACATGTCAGAGAGATTAGTCCGAATGCCTTGTTTCACCTGCTCCTCTGATGGTATCAGCCTCAGATAACCGGCATTGTGAATGCTCTCAGATTGTTTTACTTACCACTTCAAAAACAGCTTGACAATCAAACATCAAAACCCCCAGAAAAATAGAATAGTTCACTATGCTAGTATTATTATTATTATTTCCGTAGTCACTGATCGCCATGTGGCTCAGTCACTTTTCCTGAGCTTGACCAACAGACGACTTGCTTACAACAGACATTGTTAAATCCAGCCTTACACAGAGATTCTGAACCCGTCACCGCAAGGCAGCCACGGGGGGTGGGGGGGGGTCTGAAACACAGCTTTAAGCTATTAACCAAAAAATAGCTTTTCAACCACAAAGCGGTATTTAGCACAGCATAGTGCAGAGTACTCTCTGGTCTGTCACTTTGTCATGGCAAAGCCTCCCTAGCAGTCCACAGTCCTGTGAGAGATTAACTTGCACTGTTTACACACTGCACAAGCTAATTTGGTATTTTTCGTTTAAATAGCTTAAAAGACAAAATGTGTAAATAAATACTTTTCTCTGTGATCTGAAGAGTTTTGTTGTCATTAAATGTTCAAAAGAGTACAGTATTGAAAAGGGAACATGCCTTGTACAGATGTGTTTGCTGTAAAAGTTGTACAGATGTGCACTGTACGCCTGTCCCAACCAGGCGTATCGGCTGTGTTTACTTATATAGCTAAAAGTCTCTGATGCGCGGTGAGTGTTTTAGATGTGGTCTGGAATGGTGATTGAAAGACAAAAAAAGGCACTTTTGATATCTACGTACTTTCAGTTGTAGTGCGCTGGTGGCTAATTTGTCTTCAATACTTTAACAGCTGCTGCAATGCATTCAGGTAGAAAATAGTAATTTCGTGGTCTCCAAAACAATTTTACATTTTATTTTATTTTTTTGATTAGAAACATTTTATGAAGTAAATATTGTTGTGATGATGTTTCAAAGGTCGATTTTGATGGCTGAAGGGGAAGGGACGAGTCATGGTGTTGCAGCCAACCCCTGGCTGGTCAACGAAACGGAGGAGACCAGGGGGCTTAACTTTGGAGAGATCAAACAGCAGCAACAACGAATCATTGAAGGTAATTACACATGACTGAATAAAGAGTAAATGGAAGTGTCTTATAACTTAACAGACAAAGCACTTTACAGTGTACCGCTCATTCACCCATTCACAAACACACACACACACACATATGCAAGGGGAGGTGCCATATAAGGAGCTGTCTTAACCATTGGGAGCAACTTAGGATTCAGTTTCTTGCTCAGAAACACTTCAACGTTTGGATGGAGGGAGCCGGAGACTAAACTGCAAATTTTTCCTTTTTCTTTTTCCGGTTTCCTGAATCGCTCTGACATGACTTGAACACCCAGACGTTAGTTCACCTGACTCCATGTGACACTTCATTGCTATGTCTCCATTGCGGCTCTGGTTATTGTCAATTTAGGATCAGAGATTCCTGTTAAGACAGTGAAACCAAACCACATGGAGGTTTCTCATCCCCTGTGGGATTTCTGGTGGAGTTGGGTAATGGTGAGCGTATGAACCTGCGGTCATAAAGAAAATTCCAGTGGTAGAGAGTGTGTCAAAATTGGATACCTACAGAGGCCAAATCTTTTCTCTTCTCTTCTTTTCAGCTTCACTCTTATTCCTCTGCACCTTGGCCTGCTGCGGTTATAATAACAGGAATAAGGCTGAGTGGGGTAAAGTACTGAATGACTCACATGTGGCACTGTGAGCTGAGCTGGACCCCAACAGCCTGTCATTCCTATTTCCCAAATAGTTGCGTCATTATAGCACAAGTACAGTATTCTAACTGCTCCCTTCTTACAATAAGCTTTTCCAAATGGGACTGCAGCATTACTTTATTATTCTTCGTCATACCCCACTGCAAAATTTTACATAAATTCTTGTGCGCACTTCTCCTCCATATTGTTGTCTTGCATTTACTTACTGTATTTTTCTTTGTCTTATGTTCAAGTGTATAAAAGTTTTCCATCCTCTCACAGCTCAGGATGCAGGCCTGGATGCACTAGCAGCTGTCATCAGCCGACAGAAGATAATGGGCCAGGAGATTGGCAATGAGCTGGACGAACAGAATGGTAAAGTCTAATTTGCGTGTGTGTCTGTACGTATTCGTCAAAACAAAAATTCCAGACACATTACACACAGCAGTGTGAAAGCAATCAGACATACTTGTTCTGCAATGGAACGACTTGCCTCATGTAACTTGCTGGACAGTGATACTCCCTCACACCACCACACCACTGACATAGTGACTACCAAACACACACACACACACACACACATATATCAACACACACACACCCTCAAACTGCCATTGTCAGAGCAACTGAACTCACATTCAGGTCACAACCATGTCTACCAAGGTATCCTTTGTCACACATCCCACAGAGCAATGTGACCTCTCTCTTCATGCTACTTTAATACGTTGCAAAAACTGTAAGAGTTTTGTGTTCTGGAATCAGATCTGCTCAGAGATAATGGTGCTTTTGAGTTATTTCTGGCTAAATGCCTCTCATCAGTGCAGAAATAGCTTCCATCACAGGTAGAACGTGCCATACAGAACAGAGTGCAGACTGTTTTTAAGCTCAGACAGGCGGCACTTGAGACATAAGACTTTGGGACGATCATCTGTCAACTGGTGAACAATTAGATCCTTTAATGCATCGCTCTCAGTAGACTGTAGCAGTTAATAGGCCAAGGCCTGAGAGTGTTGCCTTACAAAGAGGATGCACACATGTATTCCTGTCATGTTTTTGTAGGGGGGGATTGGTGTGTTTGTCACATGCACTTCAGTAAGAGTAAGTAGACTTTATCTCTTTCTCCACAGCAAGCCAACTTAAAATAGCGTGTCTGGGTTTCAGCAATTAGTTGGATAGTTAATGCTGCTGTTCTGAGTTGCACAGCTAGAAAGAAACACAATGATAAAGCCTGAATCTCAAAAGAGGGATTGTTAGACTTTATAAAACAAATTGTAAGAGTCTAACACCAATTAAAATGAATAGATTTGAATCTTCTTTATTTCTGTTGTAACCTCAGAGGAGATCCCTAATGTGCTGTTTATCTGGAGTTGTCTCCAGTACAGGCAGTTATTGTCTGTTTCTACCCTGATGACCAGCCTCCAGTTGGGAAAAGAAGGCGTTGTACTATCTTGTAATATCCTGTCTGAGCAGTCGTACCCAAACAAGCCCAGAAGTTGTATAACCGAGTGATCTCGGCGTGGAAACAAACGACCTTCCCTTCTGCTGGGAAAGAATGGCAGATGTTTTGTTGACGCCGATGGGAGAAGGGAAGAGAAAGAAAGGAAAGCTGATTGTTTTTTAGCAAGCTCTCCTGTTACCTTATTGAACTAGAGATGGGTGATTGCTCTAGTGCTTCGACTGGCATGTTTTTCTTCTTGTTTATTCAGCTTTATGCCATTGTTTCCAATAATATGAACCTGAATGGGTGATGGGAGAGCTGTAACTGAGAATTACACCATTTCCACTGCAAGTAAACGAGAAGGCGATTTTGGCCCTGGAAACAATGGCTTGTCACTACTTCCATATTTTGACCCACATGACTCTTAAATATACATTTGATGGAAACTCGTTTTTTCTGAAATGGCCAAAAATATTTATGCGACCTGTGGGTATTATAATCAGCTCCATGTGTTGAAATCCAGAACGCAAGCACACATTTTCAGTTTTTGTTTTTTTAAAGGAAAGCATATCATATATTATGATGTTATGATATAATAATATTTAGATATATATATATATATATATACTGCTTACTGCTTATTACAAAATCATGGAGCATGCAGTGTAACCAGGTTACAGACGGTTTTAAGTGTAGAAATTGAATCTCCTCATGGACCAGTCCGAGCTGCTCACAGTCTCTCCTGGATCTCTCTCAACAATTTACGGCCGAGCTTCAGCTTTATACGGCCTGCTGACACCAGTCAGTGATTCACAGGGCCTATGGGGCTCTGGCTTTCCACAGCTTTTCTTTACCTACCTGAGTTTCTTTCTTTTGTGAGACCTTTGCTGCCCCTCCATCTTTCATCTCACTTCCTGTTCTCCTTTGCATCTTTTTAACAGGCCTGTATTTTATAACTTCTTTTCCATTTCTTGCATCGCTCTGTGTCTCTTCTGTATTTTCTCATGCTGAGTAATGGGAGATATACGTATATACCCTAACCCTATATACCCTAACCCTATATATCCGACAGTTTTGTCTTCAGAGTTTGTTGGGCAGGCAAACCAACAGGTTGCTTCCGTTCTTCTTCATCAGTGTTTAACTCTGCGTGGTGTCAGTTGAACAGTATGATCATCCTCCATGGTTGTTTTCACTTTCAGCCTTATGTGTGTTGTTTTAGCTCTGCACTTTTAGTGTTGTTTTACCTGCTTTGAATCTCAAATATACTGATGGTAAACATTCTGGACTCACTATGGGCCATTTACAAATCATCAAATAAAAAAATGGCAATTAGAAACTGAAAATATGTTTTCCCTATTCCTACTAGCCATACCAAGTTACAGTGTAGTTGATTGATTGATCCTGTGTGCCCTGCACCATTCCATGGTGCCCAGTCCATATGGTCTTACAAGACACTAAAGCAACATCAGCCAAGGTGGCCACAATCATAATGTACAGTTCCACAAGTTTAAAAAAAAAGAAAACATTTCATTAGATTACATTTTCATGACCAAAATGTCTTTTCATGCTGGATACAGCAAATTATAATTGCCATGCATTTTCTATTAATCCTACTAAAACAAAAATCTTCTCCTTAAAGATTCCCTTACCCAACATTTCACCTTCAGACAACCAAAACAAATCAGGGTTCTACAATTGGATTTTTTTCAAACAGTTGGTCCGTCAGTTGGTACAGAAAACCAGATTCATCCTCAATAACACCGAGATCTCAGAGAACACATAACCGCTGCTCTTCAGGAATACCTTTTTATCTGCCTACCTCAATTGTCAGTGGTAAGCTACCAGTTCTTAACTGACTTAACAGCAGTAGTATTGCTGCTATGGTATTTATTACAAAATAAAATATATATATATTATATTTCAAGGATGTTTATGAGGCCAGTGTTGTGCCTTGTCTGTTGTACAGTATGTCTTCAGGCTTTGCCACCCTAAAGACGCAGTCCTCACTCTAGCTCTCTTCAGCATAGAATGTAGCTTTTGTTTTCTTGAGTTTTGTATCCTTGTTATCATAGCAGTAACTCTGCATAGATTCGTACTGCATTTAAAGTGCGGCTTGTTCTCACATTGACGTTGAGTGTCATGGTTTTTTGCATTCCAAAAAAAAAAATATGACTGGAATGTTTTTCCTCTAGACTTGTACTTAAATTACTTAGATTATTGTATGGGACAGTTTTGTAGGTGCTGCATTTCTTACTTGTATTAAATGTCAAAATCGACAATCTAAAAAAGTAAGGGGATAGTTTAATGTTTTAGGAGAGGCAAGGAAAATAGATTTAAGTTATAAAGCAGGGGAATGGCAAGGCTCTGTGTTGATCTTGACAGTTGGCGCGTAACCTTGGCGTCCGACTGTCTTTCTGTCTTGTAGGGTTCCTTTTACCCCTGATCACTGTACTGTAGCCGTGTTTTCCTATAAATAGATTAAGCTCTTTGTAGTTTGGCTGCTCAAGTCTAGCTCATGACCCAAGTGCAGTGGGGGTTGCAGTCATTTCCTTTTCAGGGAAACAAATCCGGCTGAGGTCAGCAAGGAAGACGACCCTTTTCAGAGGTTTAGAGATGAACCCAAAGCCCTCAGTTACTCCGCTCTCGGTCTTAACTGGCTCAAAATGGAGTGAAATGTAGAAATGAGTGTGCAGACAGATTACCTCAATTTCAGTCTCTGCTTTATGGCTCATAACATTAATCCATTGCATACTGAAGATTTTCCCATCTTACTTGCCAGTCATAACAAAAAGCGAAATTCAATCATTATTGTTAGTGTGTTAAAATTAGTTAAATGATGTGCTGTCGTCAAGTTTTTTTTTCATATTTCTAACATGATGTTACCAAAGATTAGTATATTTTCATTTCCAAATTAAATGTTGCAGAAAATAGTCCTGCGTATACCAACTGAAATGGCTTGCATCAGCGGTAGTCTCCTTTCCCATTGAGAAAGATCAACATTAATTTCACTTTATTAGTGTTGATATTTCTCAGATTGTGGCCTGGAACAATGACATCAATCCATGTCAGTGTCTTGTATGTGTGAGTGACAGACGGGGGCTGGCTTGTTAAAATTCTCCCTTTTTGAAAGAGGCGGTAAAAGTAGGCTGTCACATTTGTCAGATTTTTCGGCACTACTTCTGAATTGGATTTGACTGGTTGTGGGATATTGCAGCTATGACATACGCCGTGTACTGGAAAAGCTCCTGCCTGCAGTTGGTGTGACTGAAATCCATGTGATGTGGACAGAGATTGAGACACAGTAACAAAGGGCGGATCCCTTTTCAGGTGTATCTCTGTGCTTATGGCCTCACTGACATAAGGCTTAGGCTAGTCCAATCAAGTGAATGAATGATGAGTTCATGTATTTTCCACCACCTCTCTGCATGTTTGAAGTTTAGCAGGAGTTTCCAGCTAAACAAAATCTGCTCCTCAGAGTTCACCACACATAAACCATTCAAATGAATCAAGTGACTGCCATTTGTTCTGTATATTTGTCCTCCAGACCCAATTTTGAATAGACCTCAGACCTCTGACAGCTCTAGCAGATGTGTTCTCGTATTAACTACCAAACCCATGGCCTTTTCGTGTCCTGTTCCATTTTTTTTTTTTCTCCCCCCCTCTCTTTGATAATACTTTGGGCTGCTTGGTATTGCTTAGGCAACTCATATCTTTACTGAGAACACAATAATAACCACAACGTGCACAGTATATCCGGGGCTGGAGAGAAACAGACCCCCATTTGGATTTGAGACCTTCTGGAACAAATTTTAGATAGATGCAAGACATGTTTTCTTTTAGGCACTGCAACAGGTCTGACCACATGTGCGCTCTTGTTTTGTCTGAAACTTGGAGACCAGAAAAGTCTTCTTTTGCATGACACAGTAGCAGCTTCGTC